AAAATTTTGACTTTTTGAGGGATGTAAGTACCAATTTACCATCGAAACGTAGGACTGGTTTTCTCCACTGATAGAGTCGAGTCCTCATATATAAGGGAGCTGTGCGCTCATTCGGGAATGGCTTTCTGTAAAATTTATCCATAAAATCTCCAAATTTTATTATCTGTGTGGAAAGTGATACTCGAATATTACAAAGCTTTGCTAACAACTGCCACAGTTATGAGTAAAACTGCCTATGGTTCCCCTTTTGATTGTTATCTATCAATTTGAATGCGACTTGACTATCTGTATGCGAGATATACCAGTACTGATGGGCTATTCGAGGAATTATTGGAGGATTTTTCCCCTACTACCGTGGGCGGAAATAATTATCTTTCACACGATAACACCAAATTCCAATATTTGTGAGAAAATAGAAACTTTTTTTAAGAAAAATTTTTTTGCAAGTTTTTTTGACGAACATTTTTTTGTTCTTAACAAAGATTCATTCTTAATATTGCTAGTTTTTTGCAGATTTTACCCTCTCGGAATCATTGCGCCAAAAAATCAAGGATGCCCAGGAAAAACATATTGCTGTTGGTTCCAGGTTGCGTATCGGTACCGCCGAATATTTCGGGATGAATCGAAAATTTATCAAACGATCGAAATTGTCACCGGATTCGATTATGCAACTCGCCGTTCAACTTGCTTTTTATAAACTTTTCAACGAATTTGTTCCAACTTACGAATCGTGCAGTACTGCAGCTTTTTTGAAGGTAATATTCTTTTTTTCCAATTTAAATACGGATTGTAAGGAGATTTTGTCCTAAGGCGGCTCAGTTTCCTTCATTTCTTAGTATTTCTTGTGTTTCTTAGCTTTTCCGGTGTTTATTTAGGGTCGAACTGAGTGCGTACGTTCAGCCACGTGTGCGACACGTGATGCAGTTTTGGCAGTCGAAAATGGTCAGGGCGATTTAGCGGAATTGTTAAAAAAGTGCTCAGCAGTGCATTCGCAGATGATTAAAGAAGCCGCAACAGGTAACAGCTGACTTTTTAATTGAAACGAATTTTGAATTGTACTGTGACTTTTCTTGTCCTGATCCTTGAAATTTCAGCCCCGTAACTTACATTATCGTCTTATCAGTGGTTAATTTTCCCCCTCCTCCGCCCCCCCCCCCCCCCC